CCCCGCTGAGTCCGAGTCGGGCCGTGCCCCGACCGAGACACGTCCGCTGCATGCAGAAGATAGGAAGGCGACGGCAGCCACAAAACAACTTCGAAAGTCAGAGTCCCGAAAACAGAAAACTCGCAAACACCCCCAACCACCAAGATTGACAATAGCCCCCACGACACCTATATTCCACGACGACGAATATCAAACCCCCAGACAAAAGAGAAGATAAGTTAAAAAGCAAAGGAAGAATACACCACTTATTCCAAAAAAAAAAAAAAAAAAAAAAGGAAAAAAAGAACATCAACATAAACCAAAAAACGGAAAAGGAAAGCAACGAAATCAAAGCATAAAGAAAAAAAGAACAATATATCACCCAACCCCCCTTCGCCCAGGTCGCCCTATCCCAAATCTCATCGCAATCTGAACTGTCGCCCGGCCAGAGACTAGACTACCGATAAGACCGATATTACCGATATTACCGATAAAACCATCGTGATTTGAAAAATATATATATATATATATAAAAAAAAAAATCCCTTTAGCACCATACACAGTAGTCGATCCCCCATTCCTAATCAGGCCAAGATGGCCACATCTACCCCAGTCACGTTCCAGCGCCGCTTCTCCTCAGTGGTGACAACTAACACGAAGAATGCAGACAAGAACTCCCAGCCGAATGGCGCACTGGTCGACCACGAAACCCTCCGCTTTTTACTGGAATCACCACAAATCAAAGGAGAAAAGATAACCAAGAAGATACAGCAGGACGGGGAAGAGAAAGAGATCACAGTCTGGTGCTATCCCAAGGAAAAAATTGAGTCCACGAATGCCATGTACGCGAAACACGGATTAGTCTTCACTTTCTCCAACACGGGAGCTCGTCTGCCAGAAATCGAAAAACGCAAGTGGATCACAAGGACAGTGCAAGGACACGAAAATCTCAGGTCCAGCACTGACAAATTTTCCATGCTGGTACTCAGCAGAAACATGATGATGGTGGTTTTTAAAGACGCCGACCAGGCGTCCAATCTGATCAGCAAACACACCACCCTGAACTGCAACGGTTCAGTGTGCTCCTTGTCTCGATGGAAGCAGGAGACAGCACAAAAAGCCATGATCTCTCCGGAGACTGCGCAGAAACAGCGACTCATGAGGGACCAATTCTGGGTCCAGTTCGACAACATCCCAATCAGAGGACACCCTCTGATCAAGGATCGACTGGAGGTGGAATACCCAAACAACGAAGTACTGAAATGAGTACTTCCAACTCCGGAATTCTCGGCCCCACATTGCGATTCCATCACCGCCGTTCTGGAAGTTAACTCAGACTCAAACCCCGAATTCCCGGAAGAATGGGAATTTTGCATCGGGGAGGAAGCGTCCTCAGTCACAGTCTCAACGAAGGACGCCCCGATCTGCTTCAGATGCAGAGAGAGAGGACACCTGGGCACTGACCCAGCGTGCCCGACGTCCCCTGAACACTCCAAAGAGAAGAAACTGAGACAGAACATGCTGGTAGAGGTCGAGGAAGCAAAGGGCATATGGTTCGTCAATGACCAGGACTACAACGGATGGGTCTTTGACGACACCATCGACGACCCAAAATGGGTTTGGACATACAGCACATACCCTGCAACTAAACAGCCAGACATATTCCCCCCCTCGGACAGCAGGTGGCATGCAGTAGGAGCGAAGAAAGTAACAGGCATACCAGGAAAGATTCACAAGGACCAGATTATTGACCCGCGGGCGATTATGGAAGAGAAAAAACACGAAGATTTGTTGTGGGACATGGGGACGATCAGAGCCAAGACAGCAGAAACGTGCCAGAACGCCAACCTGGACAACAGCACCTTGCTGCAGGAAGCGAAACAGACCCTCGATCACCGACATCCCAAACCTGAAACCCCCCCGGCACTCAAACGGAAAGCCTCTCCCTACACCAAAAGCTCCCAAGAGGACAGGGCAGGGAAGAAGAGGAGGGCAACGGAGGAGGGCGCAAGTAAGATACTCAGAGCCGAGCACCCCCCCACCGACGATACTCCCCCCGGGACAGATCCGAACTCACCTGCGACAGCTGAAATGGGCATGGACAGCAACACAACCTCCATTCCCTGGCTTGAAGAGTATTTGCAGAGGGAAGAATATGAGAGGGAAAAGGAGTTTGATATCAGGCTGGCATGCATGAAACATCTGGAAAACCAGTCAGCGGAAAAACATCTGGCAAACCAGTCAGCCGAAATGACAGGCAAACCAGTCAGCGGAAAAACAGTCGCCGGAATTTCGCAGTCCAAGAACATTTTCGACATGCTATGCATGAACTCCGAACTCTCGGAATTCAGCGCATTCAGATATTTCGAAAAGAAGAGAGAACGTGAATCTGCTGGTAAAGAAAGTGGCGCAGGCTTCGACCCCCAGACATTTGCAGACTCGATCCGAGACATGGTTTCCAAGAACTGGAAGCCATCGAAGGGAAGGGACAAGAGACCAAGGGGACCCCCCAAAGACGAAGCTGGAAGCAAGAACGAACAACGCAGACTCACACGGGAGATTGCAACAGTGGCAGCGCAGACAAAGAGACTGTTCGACCAGAACCAGGACTACAAAAGGGAGCAAGGCGAGAAGTATATCACAGTCCGCATGATCGCAGAGAACAAGGCGCCCAGCGTCCCCAAAGCAGCAAGCACGGACAGGGGGACCACCAGGGCAGTAAGACCGCTGCTTCCAGTTCGGTATAGAAGCAAACACAATGAGTGGCAGGTGGCCACGGACGCATCATTCGCAATCCCCACCCTCGATGACGACAGAGCCTTGGCGAAGACCATCAGGAACAATGTCTCAGCGGAGACCCCGCTGGGCGTGTACGGGGTCCCACCACGAGAGCAGACGGCCGAAGGGAAGATGCTGGAGGAACCGATCTTCACCTCCTTCGACCCCATCCTGGTCAAGCTCGATGAGAGGGCAAAACTCAGCGGAGGCTTGACCTGGAGGGCATGGGACACAATCACAATGCTGCCGTACAGCGTGCTGAACGGGAGGTTCAGCACGACCGACATCATGGCAGACTCGCTGGCAGACATCATCAGGACCCGCCTATTGACCTCTAGGACCTCACTGCAGGACGAGGCAACCCCTATCGACGTGGACATGCGAAGGGAAGACTCCGACATGGAGGACGAGAAGGACAGCGAGAGGGATGAGGACGACAAAATCTCCCCCAGGGGAGACGACGTTGTGCCGTCAGCGACGTCGGGGAGCAGCGCTGGCGAGTACGGCTTGAGCTCCTCAGCAGCAAGCGGAGACAGCAGGGACGCCGACACCGACAGCAGCAAGACCCAGGCAGCAGTGGACTGAATCAACAGACCATAAACAGAAATAAAACCCTGCCCTAGAATCCAACGAAGTCACAGCAGCAAGAACCAACGAAAATCAGGCAGGGAAAATATATATATATATATACAACAATAAGAAGCAATGCAGAGTTTCACAGCAATCAGAAACGGGCAAGCTAGCCCAACCAAAGTAAACTGGTACGCTAAGGGACTTCAGATAATCAGCTGGAACATCAATGGCCTTGGAAACATTCTGACCGACGAAGACAAACTCAGAGACATCCGGACAGGCCTGGTGGGGAAGGACATCCCCAAACCAGACCTTATACTCCTCCAAGAGACACATCTATCCAACCTGAACAACCACCCGAAGATACAGCAGAGGATGGAGAGAGTTGTAGGAGGTTGTGCAGTCACAATTTGGTCCAACAGAGACGGCCAAAGCAAGAGAGGGACAACGATACTGATCCCAAAAACGTCCAAAATCCTGACCGAAGGACATATCCTTAACAGCGAGGGGGATAGAGAGGAAGGGAGGTGGTCGTGGGTGGACATCAAGTGGCAAGGCGAGGATCTGCGCATCCTCAACCTGTACGCACCCAACACTGAATCCGACAGACTGATCTTCGTTGAGAATATCAAACCCCTCATCCCCATCCCACAGCCAGTAATCATCGCAGGGGACTGGAACACGACCCTGGACCCTAACATGGACCGGATATCAAGAATGGTACAAATGGGACCCACAAGAGCGGGCACCCGGATTCGAAACCTGATGACCGAATTCGAACTCTGCGACCCCCTCAGGGCACTGCACCCGGATAAGAAAGTCTTTTCCCGAATAAGGAAGAACCAAGCCAACCGGACGTCACTATCCAGGATTGACTTCTTCCTCATTTCTGAGAGCTTACTCGGGACAGTCAAAGAGGCCGAAATCCTCCCATCAGCTGCCTTCAAAGGACTATGTCACAAGCCCATCCAGATGCTGCTAAACTTCAACATGCCAGTCCAAACAGGACAAGGCTTCTTCAAACTAAACAACTCGCTGTTAAAAAGCGAACGAATGACGGAGACAGTCCAAGAGAACTGGGCCCTCAACAAACAACGAGAATCAAGGAAGACAAACAGCCATCAGTGGTTCATTGACAGCTACTCAGAACTGACACGGACAGTCTCAGCGGAATCCAGAGTGATTGCTAGAGACCGCAAAAAAAGAAGGGAGGAACTCGAATTCGCAATGGCCGTCGCCGAAGAAAATTTGGCGGAGGACCCCAACAGCAGTTTTTACCAACAATTACTGGATGACACCAAAGACGAACTGGACGACTGGAGAAGATGGGAACTCAGAGGGCTGCAAATACGGGCAAGGATGACAGACTACGCCCTGAACGAGTCAATGACAAAGTTCTTTTTCTCCAAAATCAAGACGAACGCTAGGAACAACATGATAGAGGCACTCAAAGACCCGTCAGACGCAGGGTACCGGAAAACAGCAGGCCCTGAGATGGTAGGGATTGCAAGAACCTTTTACGCAGATCTATACGAGTCCAAAACCCCCTCACCCCCAACTCCAGCGAACCAAACAGCCCGCCAACTGATGATGTCATATCTCGACAGAACTATCTCGTCGAGTCAGGCGGAAGGCCTGGACAAGCCACTGTCCCTGGTCGAACTGCACACAGCTCTGAATCAGATGGGATACGATAAAGCCCCAGGCATCGATGGCCTCTCCAAGGAATTCTGGAGCTGCTTCTGGCCGACCCTTGGTGAGGATCTTCTAGACTTTCTCAATGAAATCCAGCGCAAAGGAGGCCTAGGTAAGGAACTGAGTACCAGCGTGGTTTCGCTGCTGTACAAGAAGGGTGACAAAGAGGACCTGAAGAACTACAGACCGATCTCCCTACTAACCACGCCATACAAAATCCTAGCCAAAGCGCTTGCAAACAGAATCACTAAACTAACGGACAGCTGCTTTCACATCGACCAAGCGGGCTTTATCCCTGGCCGGTACATATTGGACAATGTCATGACCCTGAACGAGGCAACAAAAAAGATCACGAAAAAACGAATGAAAGCCGCGATCCTGTTTTTTGACTTCGAGAAAGCCTATGACCAAGTCAACTGGGACTTTCTTCATGCATGCATGGAAAAAATGGGCGTAGGCCCAAACTTCATAAGTTGGGTGAGAGTGTTATACGCAGACGCTACAGGAAGAGTCCAGGCCAACAAGATTTTATCAGAAACCTACCCAATCTCACGCTCGGTCAGACAAGGCGACCCTCTAGCTCCTCCCATATTCCTATTTATCATGGAAGCCATAGCTTCCTTCCTCCGCAAAGATCCATCCATCGACCGCCTCACTGAACGGAACTTCAACCCCTTGCACGACTTCGCCTTACCCACTGCACTTATGTTCGTCGACGACCTTACGGTACTAATTAGAGCAAATAACAGCTCCTTCCAAGCGCTGGTAAGGGCAATGGAAGCCTTCAGACTAGCATCAGAAATGAGGGTGAACTGGAATAAAACCGAAGGATGGTGGTTGTCCGACGATACCCCCCCCCAACCAATAGACACAACCACACCCATGACGTGGACCACGGGTGAGCAAGCACTACGATTCTTGGGCATTATGGTCAACAAGGTAGGTGTGTGGTCAGGGATGGGCCAGAATCTAATAGCAAGAGCAATCAATCGCCTGGCCATGTGCAGAAACGCCCAAGCCTCACTAATCGGACGCGCACTGCTCGTCAACACAGCAATATTCTCTACGCTATGGTGCATGGCATCGATTTGGTCCCCCCCCGACGGCGACCTCAAGGAGCTGAAGAACAGGGTGAGATGCTACCTGTGGACAGGCGATCCCAACAGGACCACCTGCATCAAAAGGGTTGCATGGAACCACATCACTAGGAAACCGCACGAAGGGGGACTCGGTGTAATTGACCCGAAACAAGAATCCATAGCGCTGCAGATAAAATGGATAATCAAGATTCTCACCAAACAACACCTTCCTTGGACCCAAATGGCGCTAGACAGCATAAGAAATCTAGCTCCCATCAACTCCCCAGCTAACATGAACGGCCTATTCTGGCTAATGGCAAAGGACTGGACAATCAAACCAGGCAGAACACGCAGGAGAACCTGGCACAGCACAACCCAGCGATCCCCACCACAGTCACCACCCACACAGCCAACACATATTGGAGCCCCACCATCAAAGCATGGCGAAAAATGATGCCGAGTAAGCACGGGACACCAGACAACAGAGAAGAAATACTGAGACAACCTCTATTCTGCAGTCCCTGGATAACTGACCCAAGTGCAACGACCTGGACGCTGCGATCACGGGATCGCAGATGGCTATCCTGGGTGGAAAAAGGAGTGTGGCAGGTCCAACACATTTGGGTAGAAGACCAAGGACGYTGGGCAACCGAACAGGAACTACGTAACACACTAAAAGGATGTCACGCCCTCGCTGAAAATCTAGCGCTGATCCAAAACAGCATCCCAACACAATGGTTTCCTCTCCTAAGAGAGGAATTTTCTTGGAAACCCGGGGACTGGGGCGTACTAATCTCCCAAGTCCAGCCCACCAGAGCGTACAGATTCGCCGCCAGGACAAACCCGACGGGCTATCTAGCCAAGTTCTTCTCGTACCCGGCAGCGAAACACAACACAAGTGAAATGGAAGTCCAGAATATCGACCCACGGAGCGAGACTTTGGAGACCTTTCGCTTGAGAAAAGTGAGGGTGTCAAAGTCCAAACCGTGGAAAATTTTCCGACCAGACCTGTGTATCTCGGAGCTARAATTCGACCCAAAAGAGTGGCTATGGAGAMAGGGCAACTCAGGGAGGACTAGAACAATAGCGGAATACGACGTTAAATTCGGCTATGAGCTGGGCCTACAGACCACAGATCCTAATCCCAGACTCGAGACCAAATGGAAGGAAATACCGAGTCTTGATCCCTCGACCACCTTATCCATACCGTGGACTAAGTTCCTGACAATTAGACCGGCTAGGATAAGAAGCATGCAATGGCTCTTGGCACACGTCTCTCTACCAACCAATGATTGGCTCCACAAGAGAAGAAAACACACARATCCCAACAGCACGGATCGATGTAAACTATGCACAAATGATACYGTGGAAGACAKACCTCACTGCCTCTTACTCTGCAYGGAAGCAGCATGGATCTGGAACAAAGTGCGCGTCCTATGGATCAATCTCTTCTCGTCACCCCCCCCGGCCACAACCCCCCTGAACATCCTTCTCCTATCTAACGACACTAACAATCTCAAAGGTGGCAAGGAAGTATGGTTCCTCCTTCTCAGAAAACTAGCGCTATGGGTGATCTGGAAAAGGAGATGTTCCAARACGATCGAGGGAACAGAGGTACCAMGAGAGGAAATGTGGGCCACACTGCTGAAGAKGGTGGAAACAGAGATTCGCTCCAGATGGCGAGAAACGACAATGACAAAGAAAGGCAGACCAGAAGGGACAGCCAATAAGAGGCGGAAATTCATAAGAGACTGGCTTCTACAGGGAAAGATC